GGCTTAGGTTTCCTTCTTCTACTTCTAGATACAGAGTGGAAAAAATACCTTCTAGATTGGCTCATATTATTTATTTTCATTTTGAATCATTAGGTGGTTAGTAAAAGAAACACATTCAATTTAGATAAAGAGGAAGTTATTTTTTCAAAAAATAAAGAAATGCTGGGGAACCTAATTGTAGGAAATTCAGCCAAACCACATGGTATTTATAAATTCTTCAAGCAGCTGCCATCTTATTTACTTTGCTTCTTATCTCTGTTTCCCTCATTCTCCTCTATGTGGGCTAGTTCCCTCTTCAAGGATTTTAGTTTTTGCTCCCCAATAACTAAGGACTGGTGTGAGGCTTTTATTTCCATGATGCCAACTCTGATCTCATTCAGCATCATAGTATATCCCAAATATATTTGACTCTGTTCCTGTGTCTTAAACATATTCTCCAAAAAGACTAGACATTATTGGCCCAGCTCAGGTCACATGTCAATCTTTGACCAATCAGCCACAGTCAGAGGAACAAACTCATGTGGCATGTATAGCTACCCATTCTGTACCATGGGAAGGTCAAGTTGTTGTTGTTTGTTGTTGTCGTTGTCTAAAATAAAGGATATTAAAAAGCTAGTTTAGGGAATACACTGTGTTCTATAGTTATCAATCAGGACAATTGTCAGGGGTCATTTAGCAATTTCTGGAGACATTTTGGTCTATATATTTGTTACAACTAGGGGGTGCTACTGGCATCTGGAGGGTAAAGGCCAGGGGTACTGCTAAATATCCTACAGAGCACAATGTAGCTGCCCACAAATAAAGTATTATTCAACCTCAATATAATAGAACTGAGGTAGAGAAACTTGCACTATGGTTATTTCAAGATCTCAGTCAACATGATGAGGCACCTCCAGTGAAGAAAAGGCTAGCCTAGGAAAAAAATTGTTTCACCTTCTTGTAGAAGGAAACTCTTAGCCATAGAAGCCAATAAACATTATAAAACCATGATGATTTCTGATGTTCTCTGCCAAAGAAAGCATTGAGTCTGTTAACTATAAATCTCCATTTTGTTTCCAGTTCATTTTTATCTCTAATGATCTAGAAATAGAATTGCCTTCAGGACTTGGATGCAAGACACAAAGAGCAATTCAATGTCTGTGCTGGCAGAGGGGAAAACAGCAT